GCCATGCTGAGGCCGCGTCCCACATACAGCAACTAGAATGATGTGCAGCTACGACATACAACTATCTACTGGGGCTTTGGGGAAAAATAAATAAATAAATAAAATCTTTAAAAAAATAAAAAATAAAAACAAGCACACATTATTCAGGTGAAGGGATAATACTTCTGGGAGCTCATTTTTATTAGTTTATATCATAGTATGACTTAAAAATGACATCTGGAGATTTCCATTCATGCACAGGTATATAATAATTTTTAATAAGACAAATAATTTTGCCTACTACAGGCAAATTTCAGTCAAGTCCACCTTATCTGCAAGCAGTAACAAAATTGTATTGATTTGTTAAGGGTGAGGACAGGAGAGAGAATATGTATTTGATTTCAAAGTTATTGAATTTGAGAAAGATACACTGTTTTCTTTCTCTATAAAAGTTTTTTAATGCATTGTTCATTAAAAAATTATTCAGTAATAAAACTTTTATTTATTTATTACATAAATGAGATCTGTTTATGCCAGTTGTGTTCCTTGATTACATCTGTGACTGTATTTTGAGTTAATTTGAGCCAAACCACCAGCTCCTAGATGTGCTCTAGGACCAGCAGGGGGCTGTAGCATCTTTAAACAGAGCTGAGAAACAGCACTAGGATAGTGAATTTTGACCCTGGAAATACTCCTAATGAGACCATCATCCGTCTTTAACTCTTCTCTAGACAAAACTTCTAGGAATTGGAGGGATAGGGAAAGGTAGAGGGAGTAGTAGGTGTGTGTGTGTGTGTTTTAAGGATGTTTTCTGGTGTGGCTGTTTTAAACTTTTTTAATTAAAAACAGATAAAGATGGTACTTTGAGCCAGATAAAACAGGAAAAATGGTACTATTCTTTCTAATGCTTAAATACAGAACTTGGCATGTCTGATTTGGAGATGTTTTAGTAATAATTCTAAATTAATGAGACTGAAAGTATTTTAATCAATTAACGGTATTCTTGACTTTATGTCACCTGTGGTCATATGTAGCTTTTTTTCCTGTTTGAAGTTTTGGTTTCCAAAATGTAGCTATATTTCCATCTTCATGGCTGGGACAGAATATTTTTAGTTGACTAAAATGACACATAGTTAACCTTTCAGAGGGAAGTTTTGACTCTCTTCTGGCTGAGTATGTGGCCCATGTTTGGTTAAGATGAACAAGTAGATAAGTAATTATTATAACCTAAAGATTTGATTTTTCTGGTTTCTCTTTTATAGATTCAGAAAGTTTGCAACAAGAAACTATGGGAAAGATATACTCACAGGAGAAAAGAAGTTTCCGAAGAAAACCACAACCATGCAAATGAAAGAATGCTATTCCACGGTAAGATTCCTTTCCCTGCCTGCCACCAGCCTCATCCACATTAGGATAGTTTTTTGTCAGGTATGAAATAATAATGAATCTGCATATTTCTCATGTCATTTGAAAAAAAACAAACCTAATTATGTCTGTACATTGTACATTTATATTTGTATTTTCAAGCTCTTTTGAATTTGTATATTATATAATGGATGATTTGTAAATAGGATTACCATAATGGAAAAAAGATAGAAATGAGAATGTTGACTATTCATATTTTCCTTTTTTCTTTATATAGTAGATTTTGCTTATTATGATCATTCTGAGAAATGGTTTTACTTTTAATTAGTTGAGTGAATTAAAGTAATATCTGAAAATCACCTCAGAAGAATGTATACCTCCTATTCTGACTTTAATTCTGAGTGTCAAAACTACATGTCACTTCGCTGTTAAAAGAGCCATGTCATTGAATCTGTGGAGGTTTCTGAGAACTTTTGTTAAATTGAGAGCACCATTACTTTTTTTTTTTTTTTT